GTGGTCGGTCCGGTCACCCGCGCACGTACGGGCGTTTTTCGCCCGAGCTCGCGCTACGCCTCGGATGACTATGTTCATGCGGCGTCCACCTCTGAGCCATCGCCGTTGCCGTCCTCCATTCGAGCCGCTCTTCGTGACCCGCTCTGGATGGCTGCGATGCAAGAGGAGTTTGACGCCCTGTTGCGCAACCGGACGTGGCAGCTTGTTCCCCGTCCCCAGCACGCCAACGTGATTACCGAGAAGTGGGTCTTTAAACACAAGCTCCGTCCTGATGGTATCCTTGATCGCTACAAAGCGCGCTGGGTCGTTCGTGGCTTCCGACAGCGTGCTGGCATCGACTTCACCGACACCTTCGCTCGGGTCGTCAAGCCCGGCACGATACGCACGGTTCTCCACCTTGCGGTCTCCCGTGCTTGGCCGGTGCACCAGATGGACGTCTCCAACGCCTTCCTCCATGGTCACCTCGAGGAGAAGGTCTTCTGCCAGCAGCCCACCGGGTTTGTTGACCCAGCGCTTCCCGACCATGTGTGCCTGCTTTCGCGGTCCTTGTACGGACTCAAGCAGGCTCCGCGCGCTTGGTACCAGCGCATCGCGGCGTTTCTCCACCAGCTTGGGTTCCGCTCTACCCGCTCGGACGCCTCGCTCTTCGTCTATCATCAGGGTTCTGACACGGCCTACTTGCTGCTCTATGTCGACGACATCATCCTGACGGCATGTACGGTGGTCTCCTCAGTCAGCTCACGGCTCGTCTTCGCGCTGAGTTTGCCATCAAGGACTTGGGTCCTTTGCACTACTTCCTCGGTGTTGAGGTGGTGCGTCGTCCGGATGGCTTCTTTCTTCATCAGCGAAGGTATGCTTACGAGCTCCTGAGCGCGCCAGCATGCTTGACTGCAAGCCCGCCGCTACGCCTGTTGATACGAAGGCCAAGCTTTCTGCCACGGATGGTTCTCCTGCTTTGGATGCTGCTTTCTATCGGTCTATCGTTGGTGCTCTCCAGTACCTCACTCTGACTCGACCGGAGATCCAGTATGCCGTGCAGCAGGTGTGTCTTCATATGCATGATCCTCGAGATGTTCACTGGGCTGCTGTCAAGCGGATTCTCCGCTATATCTGTGGCACTATGGATCTTGGCGTCACGCCTCCGCCGACACCGTCCTCACCGCCTATCTTTGACGCAGACTGGGCAGGCTGCCCTGACACTCGTCGCTCCATTTCGGGCTATTGTGTCTATCTTGGATCCTCACTCATCTCGTGGTCGTCCAAGCGGCAGCCTACTGTCTCTCGTTCCAGTGCTGAGGCTGAGTATCGTGTGGTGGCCAACGCCGTCGCCGAGTGTTCGTGGCTTCGCCGGTTGCTTCAGGAGCTCTCTTGCCCTATTGACCGTGCCACGGTGGTCTACTGCGACAATGTCTCGGTAGTCTACCTCTCCGCTAACCCGGTGCATCATCGACGGACCAAGCATATTGAGTTGGATATTCATTTTGTTCGGGAACAGGTGGCCCTTGGCCATATTCGTGTTTTACACGTCCCTACTTCCCAACAATTTGCCAATATCATGATCAAGGGCTTGCCTATGGCGTCATTTGAGGAGTTCTGGTCCAGTCTTTGCGTCAGCCGCGGTGCCGCTTCTACTGCGGGGGGAGGGGGGGGGTGTTGAGTATATGTGTTATGTGCATATTGTGTATTGGGTCTGCCTCCTAGTTCCTTGTATAGTTGAGGTCGGTAGCCCATCTTTGTACATCATATATACGTGCCTATGCACGAAGAGCAATACATCGTGCAATCATAATCTCATACACACAGGATTTATTCAACCAATTTGACTAGCAAGCCACCCGTAGATTATATGAATGAGCTATGTAATAACGGGTTCTGGTTATGTTATCTTTCTCTAAATGTATTTTGTCTGATACTCGGTGACTGAAATTTGTTTCACGCATAATAAAATCGTTGTGTGCATCTCACGGTGTAGAGGACGGGTACTTTGTTAATGAAAAAAAAAGCCTCATTTGACGAGGCCCCACGGCAAGCATCAAAAGAGACTACTCGAGGCGAAGCCAACCAATCGGTTATCAAAATCAGTAGTTTGGGATCGACACGTCTGACTGGATCACAGTGAGAGCACCAAGAAATATCTCACTCTATTCGAAGCAGGGAGGCAACTAGTGACTGTCGGAAAGAGACGTGTGGAGGAGAACGGAGCCAGGCAGCAACATAAGGCTAAGCGGTCGCCGGCCCACACACACACATGCGCCCATATGCCGGCTGCTTCTCCGTGCGCGCGTTGACAGCCTGCCAGCCAGCCTAGAGGAGAGGAAAAATATCATCCGAGAGCAGAGCAGAGAGGCAGAGAGATGTCGGCCATGGCGGACGCCGAGGCCCCCTTCCTGCAGCCCGCTGAAGACGACAAGGCGGCGCCGCTCGCCGGCGTCTCCGACTTCCGTGGCCGCCCCGTGCGCCGCGCCGGCTCCGGCGGCTGGCGCTCCGCCCTCTTCGTTTGTGGTACGTGCTCTCGCACGCTCTGTTCCCCTGTTCATTCGTTAAGCAACCATCTGCTTGATCGATTGCTCCTATGGTCAATCCGGCGGGCAGTGGTGGAGATGGCCAGCAGCTTCGGCTACTTCGGCGTGTCGGCGAACCTCATCACGTACCTGACGGGGCCGCTGGGCCACTCCAACGCCGCCGCGGCCGCCGCCGTCAACGCCTGGTCGGGGACGGCCTGCCTGATGCCGCTGCTGGGCGCCTTCGTCGCCGACTCCTGGCTCGGCCGCTACCGCTCCATCATCGTCGCCTGCACCCTCTACGTCCTGGTACGCTAAAAAATTCTCCTTTTTGCTTCTCTGTTTTTTTTTTTTTTGCGGGAATGCATGGTAGATGCTATCACACGTGAGAAACGCGGTTATTTAAGATAATGAAACCGAGACGAGATCAACCAACCAACCGCGCTAATGCTAGTCTGGAATGGAAGATGTGCTGCCCGAGTCGTGTGCGATCAACCAACCGGGTACTGGGTCTACCTCAAGGAATCGTCGGTGATGTTGACTTTGGAGCTGATTTTTTTTAATTTTGAAAAACTCTACAACTATTTATATTTGACACGGTACTGACTTTTTTAGCACATGTTTGATACTTCTTGTTTTCTGTAGATATATAAAATATAAATTTGTGTAGAAATTACTCCCTCCAAACTTTGCACCAAGTTACTGACACTTATTTTGAGACAGAGTGGGTACTTTTCAAATTTGTACTTGAACACCCAGCGTGATTAACTTGTTTGAGAGCAACTGGTGTAATTGGTACTGGAGTATAGTATCTTTCTGAAAGAAAAAAAGGTTGTTGCCTTAACCCCCGAGTCATTTGGTCAACAAAATGCAGATGTTACCTGGGTCAACTTGTCTACTTGGCGGAAAAATAGTTTTGTTTGATGCAGTATCTCTTTCCATTCAATTTCTCCTTCCACTTTTGCCCTCTTCCCCGTCTCTACAAAGAAAAACCAATTTAGTGTAATTATGGATTCATTCTGTTCATCGTTTGAAGTCATGTCTTAGTTAAGATTATCATTTTTCTTGCAGCCCATAGTTATTTTGACTGCAACTTTGCAAATGTTATCATTATTTTAGCATACGAAACTCCAAAATCAATTTTTTTTACATCCCTGAAACTGGGTTAAGTTTTAGAGACAACTCAATCGCTCGTAATTTGAGTAATTGCAACGTAGACAAGTATGTACTTATAAGTGTCATGTTAAGGCCTCATTCGGTTTGCAGGATTTTCATAGGAAAAACATGGGAATGGGATCCCAGAGGAAAATTTTCTGTAGATGCATTCGGTTTGTACGAAACGAGTATAGGAATTTCTTAGGAATACTACTCATTTCCTATGTTTTTTCAGGAAACAACACATCCACTCAAACCTCATTTTTTGCATAGGAACGAGGCAATGCAATTTGTAAGGATGGCATCATGGCAAGTGCCATCCTATAACATTCCTATACTACGTCTAATTCCTCTGTTTTAATTTCCTCCAAATCGAATGAGCCCTAAACCTGACTTCAGGGTTTTTTCACCATGTTGTACGAGATCATATTTTTATATCTAAATTCTTGATGTGAATTGAGTTAAATTAGTCTAGGATTTTCGTTTAGTTTGTTCCTCAACATTAAGAAGTTCAAAAATATGGTTTTAAAAATGTTGGCCTAGAAAATTAATAATTTCTTATAGTTTCGCTTCGTCCTTTACATTGAACATTAAACGTTAATAAGCAGACACTAACCAAGTTTAAAATATGTGTGTATGCGTGCAGGGATATGGCATGATGACTCTAGTGACCACGCTCCAGGCACAGCAGTCATCGCCGGCCGGCGACATTCATTCCTCTTCCCGCCCTTCGTCGCTGCAGGTGGCCCTCTTCTACGCCTCGCTCTACCTCATTCCTCTCGCACAGGGAGCCGACAAGCCATGCGGCCTCGCCTTCGCCGCTGACCAGTTCGATGCCGACCACCCCAAGGAGCGCGTCTCCCGCAGCTCCCTCTTCAACTGGTGGTACTTCTCGATGGCCATCGGCATCTCCATCGCCGTCGCTGTCGTCAGCTACATCCAGGAGAACGTCGGCTGGGGGATCGGCTTCGGCATGCTCTGTGCCATCATGTTCTGTGCCTTTGCCGTCTTCCTCTCCGGCACCCCTACCTACCGCCTCTACGCGCCCATCCCAGGCGCCGAGAGCCCCTTCGCCCGCCTCGGCCGCAGCCTTGTGGCGCTTGCAAGGAGCTCGAGCTTCTTCCGTACAAAAGGATGCCAAGACGAGGATGGCGCGGCCAAGTCGGAGGAGGCGCGTGGCGTGCTGTGACTGCTGCCGATCTGGGCGGCGTGCCTGGCATATGGCGTGGCGTACGCGCAGATCATGACGCTCTTCAACAAGCAAGGACGCACGCTGGACCGACGCGTCTTTGGCGGCCTGGAGCTGCCTCCGGCGGCACTTCAGACGCTGGGACCAGCGAGCATCCTGTTGTTCGTCCCCATCTACGACCGCCTGCTGGTGCCGGCGCTGGGGCGCGCGACGGGCAAGCCATCTGGGCTTACTCTGCTACAGCGCGTGGGCGTGGGCATGGTGGTGTCGATGGGCGCGGTGATCGTGGCAGCACTAGTAGAGGGCTGGCGGCTGGAGACGGCGCGGGAGCACGGGCTGGTGGACGACGCCGGCGCGACGGTGCCGATGAGCTGGGCGTGGCTGGTGCCGCAGTACGTGATGATGGGCGTGGCGGACGTGCTGACAGTGGTGGGCCTGCAGGAGTTCTTCTACGACCAGATGCCCCGCGAGCTGCGCAGCCTCGGGCTGGCGCTCTACTTCAGCGTCATGGGCGTCGGCGGGTTCATCAGCAGCGCCCTCATCTCCTTTATCGACCGTGTCACCAGAAGCGGCGGCGGCGACGGCTGGTTCACCGACAACCTCAACCGCGCCCACCTCGACTACTTCTACTGGCTGCTTGCCGGCCTCTCCGCCGCCGAGCTCGTGCTCTTCGTGTGGCTCGCCAGCTCCTATGCCTACAACAACAACCACAAGAGGATTCAGCACTGAGTGATCACCGGATAAATTCCCGGTTGTGTAAAAAAATGGTCCACATTGTTCAGTAGTAGGTAGGAAACAAGAAATCTGCTAGTATTATTAAGCAGATGGCACTTGTAATTGCAAATGTTAAAATCATTGTTGAGGAAATCGTTAACTGGTAACTGCTCGGTTGACTGGCGAGTAGGGGATTAATAGGCTAATCGGCAAGTTAATCGGCCATTTAATCAATTAATTAGACGATTTATCAGTTTATCGGCTACTCGGTGACCCTATAAGTAGGGATTAATCGACAAGTTAACTTGTTAATTGGATGAATTCTTGAACAGGGGTTAAAATGAATGGCGAGCCGATTGGAAATTGATGTATCTCATCTGATCTGAGGTGTTGCAGCTTGCAATCATAGAGCGGTTGTGATCTATCTGGCCGACAGGTGCTGTGACGGTACTATAATTCTTGGCAAATTTTAACATGGTCCCTCTTACCTTCTTTTTTTTTTACATGTGAGTTATGAAGATAAGAGTCAATCAAGTCATTCATTGATGAGATCAACGGCTAAAATCTATTTTATACTCTTACCTCTAATGTAAAAAGAGAGGGTAAAAGGGACTCCTCTGAATTGCTGTGCACTGTAGTGGTACCACAAATCAATCCTGTGTTCAATATCGAGATTGCTCAACTTGGTAAAATTATGTTTGTTTTCGCGGATTTGATAAAATAATGTTGTCACAACTCATGTGGCATCCAACGACCACATGATCGAGTATACTGCACTCTGTTTGTGCTCTGTTTCAACGAAGTAGTTCAACAGGGACATCCCAAAGGCAAACAAATCAAGATAACTGTTTTCCTCTGAATCATAGGCAAAATAACACCAGCTATTACGACAATGCATGTAACATAGGGGCCATTGTTCTGACTCTACTTCCATATTGCTAGTACTCCCTATGTTTATTTTTACTCCTACTATTATATTTTTCTGAAGTCAAACTTCATAAAGTTTGACCAAATTTATATTGAAAAATATCAACATCTACAACACCAAATAAATATAATATGAAAATATATTCCATCATAGATCTAATGATATTGATGTTGTATTGTGAATGTTATTATTTTTTGTATAATAAAGCTGCTCAAACTTTAGAGAGTATGACTTCACACAAATCTAATACATGGAGTGAAAAGAAACAGAGGGGGTAATAAAGGGCCGAAATGCAGTTGTTTCTTTGAGGACACATCGTCCAAAAATTGCACACGTACACAGTTCTGCACAATGAAAAAGGAATGGTCTGATGGAAGGTGCAAACAATTATTTTCCCCATACTGGTTTGCTGCTCCCTCCGTTCGGAATTACTTGTCGCAGAAATGGATGTATCTAGACGTATTTTAGTTCTAGATACATCCATTTCCAAGACAAGTAATTCCGAACGGAGGGAGTATATGTTAATTGTGAGTTTTACTGATTGGGAACACCTACCCCTCCCTTTTCAATTTTTTTATCCGAATTACGAGCTTCAGCTTTTTTTTCAAAAGAGAAAAGCGTAGTTGTGACCCTTCTTTATGCTCAATATTTTCTGCCAGCATCGAATAAAAGGCTAGAGTTTTGGTTGGTATAGCCATGGCATCCAAAAAAAACTAACAAACCTCCATGTCATCGTCATGATGGCCGAATGCCAAAGGCAACACATAAATGAATGTATCACATCATGGTGGAAGATCAGAAATAGAAATCCTCACCGTCATCCTTGTGATAACCATTGTCGAAGGGTGGCATGACAAGCTGAGGTTGATATCAATGTGATCGTCCACCCATGTGTTTGATGGCAAGCCAATGCATATTAAAAAAACATGCCAAAGCATAAATCACACCGCAAAGTTGTAGAGTAGGACAGAAAACACAACCATTGTAATGTCCTCGGGCCTAAATACACAGGGAAAGACAACAAACATTCCTCATCACCATAACTCGCATCTTCATGAGCATGGTAGAGGTGGCTGTATGACCCTCCGCCTTTGGTACATATGATGTCCTCTATTTAATATATGGGTGAAAGTGCAACTATCCCAGGGTGGTTTTGATAATTCCTAACAATATATAGCTCATTGAGCTAATACTATTTCGAGATAAATATTTCAGGAAAGCTCAATGATTGGCATGGCATGGATTAGAAATGTGGACCCCTCAAAATGCTAAGGACAAAAGATTGGCTCAAGCTCTAAAGCTCAAGACTCTACATTTTACCTTTTAGTGATCCAAGATCACATTGAGTCCATAGGAAAAGTCAATACTATTAAAAGGGGATGAGGTGTTGCTTAATGGGTTACTTGCTCAAAATGCTTAGTGATATGCTCCAAAACCCTCAACCACTTTCTCATATCCACATTTGTCCCAAACCAAAAGTCAAACCCGGCGCCACCGAGACTTTCCACTCGGCGCCACCGGGTTCAGTTGACATAGCCACTGCCACAAAACCCTAGTCTTTGCAGTCTCACCAATAGGGATCTCGGTCTCACCGAGATGGGATTGCAAACTCTCTGTTTCCCTTCGTAACATTTCGGTCCAACCAAAATGAGCGATCGGTCCCACCGAGTTCGCAATGCAAACTCTCTGTTTCCCCTTCGTAATGTTTTGGTCCAACCGAGATGAGCAAATCGGTCCCATCGAGTTTGCCTGACCAACTCTCTGGTTAGCTCATTACCAAAATCGGTCTTACCGAGTTTGTGTAATCGGCCTCACCGAGATTACGTTATGCCCTAACCCTAATGAAATCGGTCCCACTGAGTTGACATGTCAGTCCCACCGAAAATCCTAACGTTCACATTTTGAACTGAATCAGTCAGACCGAGTTTCATGATTCGGTCTCACCGAGTTTGGTAAACTGTGTGTAACGATTAGATTTTGTGTGGAGGCTATATATACCCCTCCACCCACTCTTCATTCGTGGAGAGAGCCATCAGAACATGCCTACACTTCTAACTTACATTTTCTGAGAAAGAACCACCTACACTTGTGTTGAGATCAAGATCTTTCATTCCAACCACATAAATCTTGATCTCTAGCCATCTCCAAGTTGCTTTCCACTCAAATCATCTTTCCACCAAATCAAAATCAGTGAGAGAGAGGTGAGTGTTGGGGAGACTATCATTTGAAGCACAAGAGCAAGGAGTTCATCATCAACACACCATCTATTACCTTTTGGAGAGTGGCGTCTCCTAGATTGGTTAGGTGTCACTTGGGAGCCTCCGTCAAGATTGTGGAGTTGAACCAAGAAGTTTGTACGGGCAAGGAGATCGCCTACTTCGTGAAGATCTACCCTAGTGAGGCAAGTCCTTCGTGGGCGATGCCCATGGTGGGATAGACAAGGTTGCTTCTTCGTGGACCCTTCGTGGGTGCAGCCCTCCATGGACTCGCGCAACCGTTACCATTTGTGGGTCGAAGTCTCCATCAACGTGGATGTACGATAGCACCACCTATCGGAAACCACGCCAAAAATCTCTGTGTCTACATTGCGTTTTCTCCCTCCAAACTCCTCCCTTTCCCTTCATGTGCAATGTGTTACATTTCGCTGCTATACTCTTAGACTTGCATGTGTAGGTTGTTTACTTGACTAGTGCTAAGTTGCTAAAATCTGCCAATACTTAAAATTGGGAAAAGGCTAGATTTTTATTTGGTCAAGTAGTCTAATCACTGTTGGGGAACGTAGCAGAAATTCAAAATTTTCCTACGTGTCACCAAGATCTATCTATGGAGAGACTAGCAACGAGGGAAAGGAGAGTGCATCTACATACCCTTGTAGATCGCTAAGCGGAAGCGTTCAAGTGAACGGGGTTGATGGAGTCGTACTCGTTGTGATTCAAATCACCGATGATCAAGTGCCGAACGCACGGCACCTCCGCGTTCAACACACATACAGCCCGGTGACGTCTCCCAAGCCTTGATCCAGCAAGGAGAGAGGGAGAGGTTGAGGAAGACTCCATCCAGCAGCAGCACAACGGCGTGGTGGTGGTGGAGGAGCGTGGCAATCCTGCAGGGCTTCGCCAAGCACCGCGGGAGAGGAGGAGTACTTGTGAGAGGGGGAGGGCTGCACCAGAACTTCGTCTCAAGCTCCCATGCGCCTCCCCACTATATATAGGGGTGGAGGGGCTGGTTTCTTGCCCTCCAAGTCCATTGGGGCGTTGGCCAAGGTGGGAGGAAAGAAATCCCATCATTTCCTTCCCCACCGATTGTTATCCCCCCTTTTTAGGGATCTTGATCTTATCCCTTCGGGATATGATCTTAT